GATGATCATGATATTGATGATGTTTGAGATATTGGTAGTTACGTGTTCCGTAGCAATAGATTATACTCTACCATCTGGATGACCATCTGGATGATCATGATGTTGATGATGTTTGAGATATTGGTAGTTTGTGTTCCAGAGCAATAGATTATACTCGATTACCATCTGGATGATCATGATATTGATGATGTTTGAGATATTGGTAGTTACGCGTGTTCCGTAGCAATAGATTATACTCTGTACCATCTGGATGATCATGATATTGATGATGTTTGAGATATTGGTAGTTACGCGTGTTCCGTAGCAATAGATTATACTCTGTACCATCTGGATGATCATGATATTGATGATGTTTGAGATATTGGTAGTTACGTGTTCCGTAGCAATAGATTATACTGAGATACCATCTGGATGATCATGATATTGATGATGTTTGAGATATTGGTAGTTGGTAGTGTTCCGTAGCAATAGATTATACTCCATACCATCTGGATGATCATGATATTGATGATGTTTGAGATATTGGTAGTTATGCGTGTTCCATAGCAATAGATTATACTCCGTACCATCTGGATGATCATGATATTGATGATGTTTGAGATATTGGTAGTTACGCGTGTTCCGTAGCAATAGATTATACTCTGTACCATCTGGATGATCATGATATTGATGATGTTTGAGATATTGGTAGTTATGCGTGTTCCGTAGCAATAGATTATACTCCATACCATCTGGATGATCATGATATTGATGATGTTTGAGATATTGGTAGTTACGCGTACCATCTGTTCCGATGAGCAATAGATTATACTCTGATTATACCATCATCTGGATGATCATGATATTGATGATGTTTGAGATATTGGTAGTTATACTCTGTGTTCCGATATTGATGTTGGTAGTTACGCGTGATAGCAATAGATTATACTCTGTACCATCTGGATGATCATGATATTGATGATGTTTGAGATATTGGTAGTTACGCGTGTTCCGTAGCAATAGATTATACTCTGTACCATCTGGATGATCATGATATTGATGATGTTTGAGATATTGGTAGTTACGTGTGTTCCGTAGCAATAGATTATACTCCATACCATCTGGATGATCCTGATATTGATGATGTTTGAGATATTGGTAGTTCGCGATGTTCCAGTAGCAATAGATTATACTCTGTACCATCTGGATGATCATGATATTGATGATGTTTGAGATATTGGTAGTTACGCGTGTTCCGTAGCAATAGATTATACTCTGTACCATCTGGATGATCCTGATATTGATGATGTTTGAGATATTGGTAGTTACGCGTGTTCCGTAGCAATAGATTATACTCTGTACCATTCTGGATGATCATGATGTTGATGATGTTTGAGATATTGGTAGTTACGCGTGTTCCGTAGCAATAGATTATACTCTGTACCATCTGGATGATCATGATATTGATGATGTTTGAGATATTGGTAGTACGCGTGTTCCGATGTAGCAATAGATTATACTCTGTACCATCTGGATGATCATGATATTGATGATGTTTGAGATATTGGTAGTTACCCGTGTTCCTTAGCAATAGATTATATTCTGTACCATCTGGATGATCCTGATATTGATGATGTTTGAAATGTTGGTAGTTACGGGTGTTCCTTAGCAATAGATTATACTCTGTACATTCTGGATGATCATGATGTTGATGATGTTTGAGATATTGGTAGTTACGCGTGTTTGATGATGTTTGAGTAGCAATAGATTATACTCTGTACCATCTGGATGATCATGATATTGATGATGTTTGAGATATTGGTAGTTACGCGTGTTCCGTTAGCAATAGATTATACTCTGCACATCTGGATGATCATGATATTGATGATGTTTGAGATATTGGTAGTTATTGATGATGTTTGAGATGTGTTCCGTAGCAATAGATTATACTCTGTACCATCTGGATGATCATGATATTGATGATGTTTGAGATATTGGTAGTTACGTGTTCCGTAGCAATAGATTATACTCTGTACCATCTGGATGATCATGATATTGATGATGTTTGAGATATTGGTAGTTACGCGTGTTCCGTAGCAATAGATTATACTCTGTACCATCTGGATGATCATGATATTGATGATGTTTGAGATATTGGTAGTTACGCGTGTTCCGTAGCAATAGATTATACTCCATACCATCTGGATGATCATGATATTGATGATATTTGAGATATTGGTAGTTACGCGTGTTCCGTAGCAATAGATTATACTCTGTACCATCTGGATGATCTGATATTGATGATGTTTGAGATATTGGTAGTTACGCGTGTTCGTAGCAATAGATTATACTCTGTACCATCTGGATGATCATGATATTGATGATGTTTTGAGATATTGGTAGTTACGCGTGTTTCGTAGCAATAGATTATACTCTGTACCATCTGGATGATCATGATGTTGATGATGTTTGAGATATTGGTAGTTTACGTGTTCCGTAGCAATAGATTATACTCCTGTACCATCTGGATGATCATGATATTGATGATGTTTGAGATATTGGTAGTTGCGTGCGTGTTCCGTAGCAATAGATTATACTCTGTACCATCTGGATGATCATGATATTGATGATGTTTTTGAGATATTGGTAGTTACGTGTGTTCCGTAGCAATAGATTATACTCTGTACCATCTGGATGATCATGATATTGATGATGTTTGAGATATTGGTAGTTACGCGTGTTCCTTAGCAATAGATTATACTCTGTACCATCTGGATGATCATGATATTGATGATGATGTTTGAGATATTGGTAGTTACGCGTGTTCCGTAGCAATAGATTATACTCTGTACCATCTGGATGATCATGATATTGATGATGTTTGAGATATTGGTAGTTACGCGTGTTCCGTAGCAATAGATTATACTCCATACCATCTGGATGATCATGATATTGATGATGTTTGAGATATTGGTAGTTACGCGTGTTCCTTAGCAATAGATTATACTCTGTACCATCTGGATGATCATGATATTGATGATGATGATATTGGATAGTTACGCGTGTTCCGTAGCAATAGATTATACTCTGTACATTCTGGATGATCCTGATATTGATGATGTTTGAGATATTGGTAGTTACGCGTGTTCGTGAGCAATAGATTATACTCTGATACCATCTGGATGATCATGATATTGATGATGTTTGAGATATTGGTAGTTACGCGTGTTCCGTAGCAATAGATTATACTCTGTACCATCTGGATGATCATGATATTGATGATGTTTGAGATATTGGTAGTTACGCGTGTTCCGTAGCAATAGATTATACTCTGTACCATCTGGATGATCATGATATTGATGATGTTTGAGATATTGGTAGTTACGTGTTCCGTAGCAATAGATTATACTCCATACCATCTGGATGATCATGATATTGATGATGTTTGAGATATTGGTAGTTACGCGTGTTCCGTAGCAATAGATTATACTCTGTACCATCTGGATGATCATGATATTGATGATGTTTGAGATATTGGTAGTTACGTGTGTTCCGTAGCAATAGATTATGTTCTGGATGATCATGATATTGATGATTATAGATATTGTTACGTGTTCTGCAATGATTATACTGATACCATTGATGATGATATTGATGAGATATATTGGTAGTTACGCGTGTTCCGTAGCAATAGATTATACTCTGTACCATCTGGATGATCATGATATTGATGATGTTTGAGATATTGGTAGTTACGTGTGTTCCGTAGCAATAGATTATACTCCATACCATCTGGATGATCCTGATATTGATGATGTTTGAGATATTGGTAGTTACGCGTGTTCCGTAGCAATAGATTATACTCCATACCATCTGGATGATCATGATATTGATGATGTTTGAGATATTGGTAGTTACGTGTGTTCCATAGCAATAGATTATACTCTGTACCATCTGGATGATCATGATATTGATGATGTTTGAGATATTGGTAGTTACGCGTGTTCCGTAGCAATAGATTATACTCTGTACCATCTGGATGATCATGATATTGATGATGTTTGAGATATTGGTAGTTACGCGTGTTCCGTAGCAATAGATTATACTCTGCACATTCTGGGTGATCATGATGTTGATGATGTTTGAGATGTTGGTAGTTACGCGTGTTCCGTAGCAATAGATTATACTCCGTACCATCTGGATGATCATGATGTTAATGATGTTTGAGATATTGGTAGTTACGTGTGTTCCGTAGCAATAGATTATACTCCATACCATCTGGATGATCCTGATATTGATGATGTTTGAGATATTGGTAGTTACGCGTGTTCCGTAGCAATAGATTATACTCTGTACCATCTGGATGATCATGATGCTGATGATGAAAGTGTATATTACCACATCAAAGTTTCATCATCAGAGTCTGTATTCACAAAATCGATGTTATGAGAGTTTTTAGGACCCTCCAGCCAAAATAATGAAAGCATTTATAATTTAGAACAGTATTAACAGTATTGTAAAGGACTGATCAGGTGATTGCAGGTATGTTTGAACTACGCTCCCTATAGTGCTGGTAAGATACAGTTATCACCTAACTTTGAAAATGATGTGTTTCACTTTATCCATGACCCACATGGTGGCATGTGGTCCTGTGCACAGAGCTCAGGTAACGAATCAGTTGAAGTTAAGCAGCGTCGAGCTCGGACAGTCCTTGGATGGGTGACCGTGTTTGGCAGCCTGACTCCTGAGAGTTTCTAGGACTTCAGTCCTGCCCCACAACGAAGCACATGTGATACATGTGGTTTCACCTTAGGCAAGTGAGTTTGTTCAAAATTGACACCCAGCAGAAAATGGGTACCCGGTTAGATAAAGTCATGTGACTATAACCTTCTAGTGCCTAACAGGCAGCTTGGGTTATCCGGGGTAATAATCATCAGATTCTGATTCAGCACCACGAGCAATCACTTGGAGACTGTGCGCTAAAGAAGATGACTTATTATTATGAGGATTATTTGTTTCAGTATGATTGGAACACGAAGAAAACAAGCGTAGTTCAGGACATAGTAGAGTCTGCTAAAGGTTTGTGATACTCTCTGATTGTTAGTTACATTACATTGTAATAAGTCCCACCTATGGTTCAAGGGAAAATGTCATTCAGCATATGTGATGTCAACTTTAACAAAGTATCATCTCTTTATCAAGTTGCAAAAGCCATATTAAAGTATTATAATGATCTGGAATATTTTTGCAAAAGTAAAATAGTGAAATATGCATAGTGAGTGTGTGAGTTTAGTTTTACGCCGCACTCAGCAATAATCAAACCTATATGGCGGTGGTCCGTAAATAATCGAGTCTGGACCAGACAATCCAGTGATCAACAGAATGAGCATCAATCTGCGTAATTGGGAACCGATGACATGTGTCAACCAAGTCAGCGAACCTAACCACCCAATCCCGTTAGTCGCCTCTTGCGACAAACATGGGTTACTGAAGATTAATATTCTAACCCGGACCTTCACGGGTAGAAACATGCATAGACAAATACATGTTCAGATGGTAAGACATCCTTCAACAATGGCTGCATGTAACCTGACTCGGATAACCAAGATGATAAACTAATGTTGTGCTCTCTTCTACTTACAGGGGATGACTTTCAAGGTATCTTCACTGGCAATCTTCCGAGACGAGGGTGGTTACCTGGAGGGAGTCAGATAGTGCTGACAACATTCTGGAGGAGTAGACAGGTGAGCATGTAAGACTGGGGTGGTTACCTGGAGGGAGGGAGATATTGCTGACAACATTCTGGAAGAGTAGACAGGTGAGCTCGTTAGGCTGGAGGTGGTTACCTGGAGGGAGGGAGATATTGCTGACAACGTTCTGGAAGAGTAGACAGGTGAGCTCGTTAGGCTGGAGGGAGGGAGGGAGATAGTGCTGATAACATTCTGGATGAGTAGACAGGTGAGCTCGTTAGACTAAGGTGGTTACCTGGAGGGAGTCAGATAGTGCTGACAACATTCTGGAGGAGTAGACAGGTGAGCCTGTTAGACTGGTGTGGTGTTAGGGACTGGTGTGACAACATTACCTGGAGGGTAGACAGGTGAGATATTGCTGACAACATACCTGGAAGAGTAGACAGGTGATAGCATCGTTAGGCTGGAGGTGGTTACCTGGAGGGAGGTAGATAGTGCTGATAACATTCTGGAGGAGTAGACAGGTGAGCTCATTAGACTAGGGTGGTTACCTGGAGGGAGGGAGATAGTGCTGATAACATTCTGGAGAGAGTAGACAGGTGAGCTCGTTAGACTGGGGTGGTTACCTGGAGGGAGGGAGCTAGTGCTGATAACGTTCTGGAGGAGTAGACAGGTGAGCTCGTTAGACTAGGGTGGTTACCTGGAGGGAGGGAGCTAGTGCTGATAACATTCTGGAGGAGTAGACAGGTGAACTCGTTAGACTGGGGTGGTTACCTGGAGGGAGGGAGCTAGTGCTGATAACATTCTGGAGGAGTAGACAGGTGAGCTCGTTAGACTAGGGTGGTTACCTGGAGGGAGGGAGATAGTGCTGATAACATTCTGGAGGAGTAGACAGGTGAGCTCGTTAGACTGGGGTGGTTACCTGGAGGGAGGGAGATAGTGCTGATAACATTCTGGAGGAGTAGACAGGTGAGCTCGTTAGACTAGGGTGGTTACCTGGAGGGAGGGAGATAGATAGATAGATTATCCTTATTTCTTCCAAAAATATGAAGATTGTTACATGTTACAACAAAGTGTCAAGTTGAATATACAATGACTCAGTAGACAGTTAATTGTGCAGATATTTTAGAGTGACAGACTGACATAAACTCAGCCACTAATAACATAACTTCCTCCCATTCTGTCATATTTAAGTTACCAAGTGTTGTACAAGATCCACCAAGCAAATCAGCAATGGTTACATTGTCATCATTTTCCCAAAATTCAACAAAATCAGCTATTGATATAATATCACAAATCTTTTCAACATTTCATTTCTCAAATCATTAAGATGTGTTCAGGACATAATAACATGTTTAACAATATCAGAAGCTACTATTCCACATATACACTCTCTGGATTCAATCTTTTTACAGCCAATGTGAATAATATGAGAGATTTGGTAGACAGGTGAGCTCGTTAGGCTGGAGGTGGTTACCTGGAGGGAGGGAGATAGTGCTGATAACATTCTGGAGGAGTAGACAGGTGACCTCGTTAGACTAGGGTGGTTACCTAGAGGGAGGGAGATAGTGCTGATAACATTTTGGAGGCATGGACAGGTGAGCTCGTTAGACTGGGGTGGTTACCTGGAGGGAGGGAGATATTGCTGATAACATTCTGGAGGAGTAGACAGGTGAGCTCGTTGGGTAGGGTGGTTACCTAGAGGGAGGGAGATAGTGCTGATAACATTTTGGAGGAGTTGACAGGTGAGCTCGTTAGACGGGGGTGGTTACCTGGAGGGAGGGAGATAGTGCTGACTACATTCTGGAGGAGTAGACAGGTGAGCTCGTTAGACTGGGGTGGTTACCTGGAGGGAGGGAGATAGTGCTGACTACATTCTGGAGGAGTAGACAGGTGAGCTCGTTAGACTGGGATGGTTACCTGGAGGGAGGGAGATAGTGCTGACTACATTCTGGAGGAGTAGACAGGTGAGCTCGTTAGACTAAGGTGGTTACCTGGAGGGAGGGAGATAGTGCTGACTACATTCTAGAGATACCTAGATGAGCTTGGTTAACTTTAATGATATTCCTTGTTCCAGTTTTTTAGGGAAAAATTGACTTGATGAATTTTGATAGAAGAAAATGTGGAATGCATGATTTTGTATCTCATTGTTTTCATACATCTGTGAACATGGTTCTTTATGGCATTCTGTCTCACCTGCAGCATTAACATCTGAAATGTATAGTATGTCTGGAAAATATGTACCCTGCTTGTTATTGTGTGAGGATATGGAATTGCTGTCACATCTCGATGAATCTCTGTTATCTTCTACATGTTTTACAGTTTCAGTCTGATTTCTCTTATAGGTGCCAGTTGTCATTGACATCAACTCAAAAACATTGAAGAAACTTGATACAGGTATTTACCTGATGATTATTAAATTCATTAACTAATGGCAATGGTTTAATGTTGGCATGCTGCCTCAGAGGAAGAAACAGCAGGATTCCCTACAGTTTAATCGACTCTTTAAGAGGGTAACATGAAGGTTTGATTTCATCAGAAACAGCACTGTCTAGGACTGGGTTCAGTCTATGTTAACAACTGACAACATATGCACCACAAACTCTCTAGACTGTCCACAGTACTCCAAACAATATATTTGCTAGTTTGACAAGTGTATCAGTTACCCCTTGGTTGCTGTGGTTGTCTTTGCTTGTACCAAAGAGTTCTCAAGGAGAGGTCTCTGTCTTGGGAAGGAATTCCTGAAAGGGACATGACCCTGTAACCCTGGTAACTGCAACAGTGATCATTGTGCTTAAAGATCTGTAAGAACACATTTTATCACGGTCAAATCAGTGTTATCTCATTGTTTAAGTATTAAAAACACTCCAGATTTATAAACTGAATGTTGAAAAACATGGTACATGTTTTTTTTATATATATGTAATGACTATAAGAAAGTTTTTCAATGTTCAGGGGTGGTGGGGTAGTCTCATGGTTAAAGTGTTTGCTTGTCACGCTGAAGACCCGGGTTCAATTCCCCACATGAGTACAATGTGTGAAGCCCATTTCTGGTGTCCCCCGCCATGATATTGCTGGAATATTGCTAAAAGTGGCGTAAAATAAACTCACTCACTCATTACACAAAAGTTCAAGGCATCAATATTTACACTCAGCATCACTGTGATAATTGATGTAAAAAGACTTGTCACAATAGTTTTGCGCTTTAACGTATTGCTGATACTTGTGCCCAAATAGAGTTGATGTGTTATACAATCAGATGTATGTACTAGTTAGATGTATTGTGAGAAAGCTGTTATATATCGACATGCCAGATATGATAAGTAAGTTGAGCTACAAAGTTTTGTGACTCTATTTGTGTTATTTTCGCGTGCACTTCTTCTCTGTTCCTTTTTTTTATTGTGTATGACTTCCTCCTGTGGCATATTGTGCTGAATGTGTCATATGTTTTTAGTTTATTAATTGTATGTTGTTTTCACCTCAGCGCCACACACAGGTTCCAGTGTTGTGTTGGACGTGTGGAACAACCATGTGATACTCCAGTCATCTGCCCCCGACCAGATGCCGTACCTTGTACGTATAGTGTGATCTGTTGTATGTATTATTACAGCAACCTTCCTTTCATTCATTACAAAGTCAATATTTGTGGAGTACCTAGTGTACAACATCCTGGCTGTCTTTGTGAATTTTAAGATTCTTTTCTTCACCTCAGATGGTGGGTAAACTGGATTCAACTGAAACAAAATGGCTGACTATAGAGGCTGAAGAGACTAAGATCGATGGACTTGACTGGAAGATTATCCAGCATCAACCATCCCAGGATAGAGTCCATGTCAAATACAGTGAGCAGTTACAGACAAACACGTGTCATTGGGAAACCTCAGTAACTCGCAGTAGATTATGTCATCCAAACTGTATAGTGAAATAGCAGGGTTGGTTGATGTCTTTGAGTGGCATTTTCAGAAGTTGGGACATACAATATTGAACAAACTTTATGGATAACAACTTCTTATATTTCATGAGTGCGTCGTTTCGATACAGACGTACTGTTGTCAAGCAGGAATGAAAACGATTGTTATCCATAAAGTTTGTTCAATATGTTTCAAGACAAGCTGGGTGCAAAAGTTGGCACAGTCACAAAAGTAAATTTTTCACAATGTGTGTTTGCAGTAGCCATTGAAGGAAAGGCATGTATTATAGAATGAGGATGACATGGTACAATGTGCCAGGTTACATGTTATATCCACCCAATGAGCCATATTGTGGTGAACCTTTTCTGTACCATTACTTGACAAGTTTGCTGTAAATCTGCTTCAAATTGTCTCTCACCAACACAAATTCCCAGAATATTTGGGTACATTTTCTCCAAGTTTTGAGTCTTATGCCAATGTTCCCATGTTTTTCTGTATACTAGTAATTTAGGAGACTGTTTTTCCAAGAGTTTAGAGGTGGACAGAGCTAACTCCATCATGCAGAAGAAACTTGTCAGTGGTTTGGACCGACACTAATGGTGTTGCTCTGTATTGTAGGTGACCTGGACTACGAGAGTGTGTTGTGCATGCCGACATCCAGTTCCCTCCCAGCAGACCACAAGCCCCCCTCTCATTGTCTTTCCTCATGGTGAGATTACAGCAGTGTCATGACAACAGGGTGTAGCAATGAAACAATGTTTCAGGGAATGTAGTTTGTAATTACATTGAAGGTAATTTGTTTGCTGACCTTATAGTTGGACACAGTATTTACACTTTCATACTTTGCTAGTGAAACCGATGAGTTGCATTGCTTTATGTTTCTTTCTACATCTAGAACAACATTCCAACATGTGCCAAGAATCACCTAAACCATGTATGTCTTCTACATGCAGTAACTTGTAAGCATGTACTCATATATCCTTAGATTGATTCTATTTCTCTTGACAAATACTACACTGTTCCTTTCAAACAATGTTGTTTAGAGCTGTTTACTCGATGTATGTGGGGAGTCTGTCCGTTCTTTGCTTTGAGGTGGCTATTTGTGAAGGCAAGACAACTGTTTCAGGTGGACCCCACACAACGTTTGACTGCCAGTACCAGACATACACTGCAGGCTTCTGTCTGTGTGGATATGCTGTTCTCATGGGTGAGTATGTCACAGGCTGCTTCCATGAGAGTGTGGATATGCTGTACTCATGGGTGAGTAGATCACAGACTGCATCCATGAGAGTGTGGATATACTGTGCTCATTGGTGAGTAGGTCACAGACTTCTTCCATGACAGTGTGGATATGCTGTTCTCATTGGTGAGTAGGTCACAGACTGCTCCCATGAGAGTGTGGATATGCTGTACTCATGGGTGAGTAGGTCACAGACTGCTTCCATGTCAGTGTGGATATGCTGTGCTCATTGGTGAGAATGTCACAGGTTGCTTCCATGAGAGTGTGGATATGTTGTGCTCATTGGTGAGTAGGTCACAGATTGCTTCCATGAGAGTGTGGAAATGTTGTGCTCATTGGTCACAGACTTCTTCCGTGAGAGTGTGGAAATGTTGTGCTCATTGGTGAGTAGGTCACAGACTGCTTCCGTGAGCGTGTGGAAATGTTGTGCTGATTGGTGAGTAGGTCACAGACTGCTTCCGTGAGCGTGTGGAAATGTTGTGCTGATTGGTGAGTAGGTCACAGACTGCTTCCGTGAGCGTGTGGATATGCTGTGCTCATTGGTGAGTAGGTCACAGACTTCTTCCGTGAGAGTGTGGAAATGTTGTGCTGATTGGTGAGTAGGTCACAGACTTCTTCCGTGAGCGTGTGGAAATGTTGTGCTGATTGGTGAGTAGGTCACAGACTTCTTCCGTGAGAGTGTGGAAATGTTGTGCTGATTGGTGAGTAGGTCACAGACTGCTTCCGTGAGCGTGTGGATATGCTGTGCTCATTGGTGAGTAGGTCACATACTGCTTCCATGAGAGTGTGGAAATGTTGTGTTCAGTGGTGAGTAGGCCACAGACTGCTTCTAGAGCTGGATGTGGGATCAGCATGAGGAGATTCCCCTGCATATTTGAAGGCAAGAAACCCCATTCCTGTGTGCTTGGTGTTGAAGGTGACCAGTGTCCAGATGCTTGAAGCTCTGTTTAATGGACACTCTTGTTCTGGGTAGCTCTGAAATTCCTGCACATGTGGCTTATGTCTTTGAATGTTTCAGTGAACTACCGCGGCTCTGTTGGGTTTGGTCAGAACAGTGTTGACTCTCTCCTTGGAAATGTTGGGGATCAAGATGTGAAAGATGTCTGGGTGAGATTAATAACAGATTTGTCATATTACATCTTACTCTTGAAGACCAGAGACTGAGAAAGATTTTGAACCTTCAGTAATGTTTCAACTTCTTCTAAGTAGTAATGCCTAGACAAGGCAACCACACACTTTAACCGCCTGTGTAAACTTGCAATAAAATCACTCATTTAGGCTGCAGCCACGTCTGTGATTGAGATGGGTGTGGTGGACTCGGAGAGTTTGCTTGTATTCGGTGGTTCACACGGAGGCTTCCTGACAACACATCTGATAGGCCAGTATCCGGTACGTAGATGTATACTAGCTTCCTCACAACACATCTGGACCCATGAAGGTTCTGGTTAGAATATTGGCCTTCAGTAACGGTTCCTAACCCATGCTTGTCGTAAGAGGCAACTAACGGGATCGGGTGGTCAGGCTTTCTGACTTGACATGTCTTCAATTCCCAATTGCGCAGATCAATGCTCATGCTGTTGATCACTGGAGTGTCTGGTCCAGACTCGATTATTTACATGCCACCATATAGCTGGAATATTGCTGAGTCGGTGTAAAACTAAACTCACTCACTCACAACACGTCCAATATGCCAGTATCTAGTACGTAGATGTATACTAGCTTCTTCACAACACATCTGATAGGCCAGCATCTTGAACGTAGATATATACTAGCTTCCTAACCACACATATGATAGGCCAGTATCTGGTACGTAGATGTATACTATCTTCCTCACAACACATCTGATAGGCCAGTATCTGGTATTTAGATGTATACTATCATCCTCACAACACATCTGATAGGCAAGTATCTGGTACGTAGATGTATACTATCATCCTCACAATACATCTGATAGGCCAGTATCTGGTACCTAGATGTATGCTATCTTCCTGACAACACATCTGATAGGCCAGTATTCGGTATGTTGATGCATACTATCTTCCTCGCAACACATCTGATAGGCAGTATCTGGTACGTAGATGTATACTATCTTCCTCACAACACATCTGATAGGACAGTATCTGATACGTAGATGGATACTATCTTTCTCACAACACATCTGATAGGCCAGTATCTGGTACGTAGATGTATACTATCTTCCTCACAACACATCTGATAGGACAGTATTTGGTACGTAGATGTATACTATCTTCCTGACAACACATCTGATAGGACAGTATCTGGTACGTAGATGCAAACTATCTTCCTGACAACACATCTGATAGGACAGTATCTGGTACGTAGATGCATACTATCTTCCTGACAACACAGCTGATAGGCCAGTATCTGGTACGTAGATGCATACTATCTTCCTCACAACACATCTGATAGGATAGTATCTGGTACGTAGATGTATACTGTCTTCCTCAAAACACATCTGATAGGGCAGTATCTGGTACATAGATGTATACTATCTTCCTGACAACACATCTGATAGGACAGTATCTGGTACGTAGATGTATACTAGCTTCTTCACAACACATCTGATATGACAGTATCTGGTACGTAGATGTATACTAGCTTCCTCACAATACATCTGAGGGGACAGTATCTGGTACATATATGTATACTAGCTTCCTCACAACACATCTGAAAGGCCAGTATCTGGTATGTAGATGTATACTAGCGTCCTCACAACACATCTGAAAGGCCAGTATCTGGTATGTAGATGTATACTTGCTTCCTTACAACACATCTGATAGGCCAGTATCTGAAACATAGATGTATACTGTCTTCCTCACAACACATCTGATAGGCCAGTATCTGGTACGTAGATGTATACTATCTTTCTCACAACACATCTGATAGGCCAGTATCTGGTACGTAGATGTATACTATCTTCCTCAGAACACATCTGATTGGCCAGTGTTTGGTACGTAGATGTATACTATCTTCCTCACAACAGGCCAGTATCTAGTATGTAGATGTATACTAGCGTCCTCACAACACATCTGATAGGACAGTATCTGATACGTACATGTATACTATCTTTCTCACAACACAGCTGTTAGGCCAGTATCTGGTACGTAGATGTATACTAGCTTCCTCACAACACATCTGATAGGCCAGTATCTGGTACGTAGATGTATACTATCTTTCTCACAACACATCTGATAGGCCAGTATCTGATACGTAGATGTATACTATCTTTCTCACAACACATCTGATAGTACAGTATCTGGTACATTGATGTATACTATGTTCCTCACAACACATCTGATAGGCCAGTATTTGGTACGTAGATGTATACTAGCTTCCTCACAACACATCTGATAGGCCAGTATCTGGTACATAGATGTATACTATCTTCCCGACAACACAGCTGATAGGCTAGTATCTGGTACGTAGATGCATACTATCTTCCTCACAATACATCTGATAGACCAGTATTTGGTACTTAGATGCATACTATCTTCCTCACAGCACATCTGATATGACAGTATCAGGTACGTAGATGTGTACTATCTTCCTGACAACACAGCTGATAGGCCAGTATCTGGTACGTAGCTGTATACTATCTTCCTCAGAACACATCTGATAGGCCAGTGTTTGGTACGTTAATGCATACTATCTTCCTCACAACACATCTGATATGAGAGTATCTGGTGCGTTAATGCATACTATCTTCCTCACAACACATCTGATAAGCCAGTATTTGGTACTGAGATGTATACAATTTTCCTCACAACACATCTGATAGGCCAATATCTGGTACATAGATGCATACTATCTACCTCACAACACATCTGATAGGCCAATATCTGGTACGTGGATACATACGATCTTCCTCACAACACCTCTGATAGGCAGTATCTGGTACGTAGATGTATACTATCTTCCTCACAACACATCTGATAGGCCAGTATCTGATACGTAGATGTATACTATCTTTCTCACAACACATCTGATAGTACAGTATCTGGTACATTGATGTATACTATGTTCCTCACAGCACATCTGATAGGCCAGTATTTGGTACGTAGATGTATACTAGCTTCCTCGCAACACATCTGATAGGCCAGTATCTGGAATGCGTTAGATGTATACATCTTCTGCAACACATCTGATAGGCCAGTATCTGGTACGTAGATGTATACTATCTTCCCGACAACACAGCTGATAGGCTAGTATCTGGTACGTAGACGCATACTATCTTCCTCACAATACATCTGATAGACCAATATTTGGTACTTAGATGCATACTATCTTCCTCACAGCACATCTGATATGACAGTATCAGGTACGTAGATGTGTACTATCTTCCTGACAACACAGCTGATAGGCCAGTATCTGGTACGTAGCTGTATACTATCTTCCTCAGAACACATCTGATAGGCCAGTGTTTGGTACGTTAATGCATACTATCTTCCTCACAACACATCTGATATGAGAGTATCTGGTGCGTTAATGCATACTATCTTCCTCACAACACATCTGATAAGCCAGTATTTGGTACTGAGATGTATACAATTTTCCTCACAACACATCTGATAGGCCAATATCTGGTACATAGATGCATACTATCTACCTCACAACACATCTGATAGGCCAATATCTGGTACGTGGATACATACGATCTTCCTCACAACACCTCTGATAGGCAGTATCTGGTACGTAGATGTATACTATCTTCCTCACAACACATCTGATAGGACAGTATCTGGTACGTAGATGTATACTATTTTCCTGACAACACATCTGATAGGCCAGTATCTGGTACGTAGATGTATACTAGCTTCTTCACAACACATCTGGTAGGCCAGTATCTGGTACGTAGATGTATACTAGCTTCCTGACAACACATCTGATAGGACAGTATCTGGTACGTAGATGTATACTAGCTTCCTCACAACACATCTGATAGGCCAGTATCTGGTACGTAGATGTATACTAGCGTCCTCACAACACATCTGATAGACCAGTATTTGGTACGTAGATGTATACTATTTTCCTGACAACACATCTGATAGGCCAGTATCTGGTACGTAGATGTACACTAGCTTCTTCACAACACATCTGATAGGCCAGTATCTGGTACGTAGATGTATACTATCTTCCTGACAACACATCTGATAGGACAGTATCTGGTACGTAGATGTATACTAGCTTCCTCACAACACATCTGAAAGGCCAGTATCTGGTACGTAGATGTATACTAGCGTCCTCACAACACATCTGATAGGACAGTATCTGGTACGTAGATGTATACTAGCTTCCTCACAACACATCTGATAGGGCAGTATCTGGTACGTAGATGTATACTAGCGTCCTCACAACACATCTGATAGTACAGTATCTGGTACATAGATGTATACTTGCTTCCTGACAACACATCTGATAGGCCCGTATCTGGTACATAGATGTATAACTTCCTCACTACACTCCTTATTTGGTAGCACAATGGGAATTTTTAAAGCTATTAAGCGAATATAATATTTTGTTTGCAGACCAAATTTAAGAGTGCAGCATGCAGGAATCCTGTGATTGATTTAACCAGTGAGTTGACATTTTTAAATATTCAAATCCTGCATTAAGTTTTTGACTAAAATGATTGTTGTTTTTGTTGGCAAAATGTCTTATTAAATGCAGAAACTGAAACTGATCATATCATTCTTTTGAAGTCGGGATCGGGTGGTCAGGCTCGCTGACTTGGTTGACACATGTCATCGGTTTCCAATTGAGCAGATTGATGCTCTTGCTGATGATCACTGGATTGTCTGGTCCAGACTTGATTATTTAGAAACTGCCGCCATTTTGCTGGAATATTGCTGAGTGTGGCATAAAACTAAACTCACTCACTTACTCACTTTTAAAGTAGCTATTTTTTCTTCTGTTTCTTTCATTTTGTGATATGCTTGCTTACAATTTCGAAAATATCTTATTCGCATAGGTTATCTCAAGTTATCTCAACTCTTGCCTTCTCCTATACTATAAGGTACCTGTGTTTTTAGGGCAGGTATTTGTGATCAGTTCTATCTGTTTTCTAAATATTTCCTTAAGATACTTGAAAGTTTGGGGTATAACAAAGAAAGGTTGATGATTAATATTTACGAGACAATGTATCAGTGAATCCAGTGGTTCCAGATTTGTAGACTTCTGTACTAATGTGAGGGGAGTTATTTAAGATGCATGCATCATTCGAGTTAGTCTATATCAGGGCTGTGAACCTATTTGCAATGCTTTCATCAGGGGAGGGAACCTATTTGCAATGCTTTCATCAGGGGAGGGAACCTATTTACAATGCTTTCATCAGGGGAGGGAACCTATTTGCAATGCTTTCATCAGGGGAGGGAACCTATTTACAATGCTTTCATCAGGGCTGTGAACCTATTTACAATGCTTTCATCAGGGGAGGGAACCTATTTACAATGCTTTCATCAGGGCTGGAACCTATTTACAATGCTTTCATCAGGGCTGTGAACCTATTTACAATGCTTTCATCAGGGCTGTGAACCTATTAACAATGCTTTCATCAGGGGAGGGAACCTTTTACAATGCTTTCATCAGGGCTGTGAACCTATTTACAATGCTTTCATCAGGGGAGGGAACCTTTTACAATGCTTTCATCAGGGCTGTGAACCTATTTACAATGCTTTCATCAGGGCTGTGAACCTATTTACAATGCTTTCATCAGGGGAGGGAACCTATTTACAATGCTTTCATCAGGGGAGGGAACCTATTTACAATGCTTTCATCAGGGGAGGGAACCTATTTACAATGCTTTCATCAGGGGAGGGAACCTATTTACAATGCTTTACAATGCTTTCATCAGGGGAGGGAACCTATTTACAATGCTTTCATCAGGGGAGGGAACCTATTTACAATGCTTTCATCAGGGGAGGGAACCTATTTACAATGCTTTCATCAGGGGAGGGAACCTATTTACAATGCTTTCATCAGGGGAGGGAACCTATTTACAATGCTTTCATCAGGGCTGTGAACCTATTTACAATGCTTTCATCAGGGCTGGGAACCTTTACAATGCTTTCATCAGGGGAGGGAACCTATTTACAATGCTTTCATCAGGGAGGGAACCTATTTACAATGCTTTCATCAGGGGAGGAACCTATTTACAATGCTTTCATCAGGGGAGGAACCTATTTACAATGCTTTCATCAGGGGAGGGAACCTATTTACAATGCTTTCATCAGGGGAGGGAACCTATTTACAATGCTTTCATCAGGGGAAGGAACCTATTTACAATGCTTTCATCAGGGGAGGGAACCTATTTACAATGCTTTCATCAGGGGAGGGAACCTATTTACAATGCTTTCATCAGGGGGGAACCTATTTACAATGCTTTCATCAGGGGAGGGAACCTATTTACAATGCTTTCATCAGGGGGAGGGAACCTATTTACAATGCTTTCATCAGGGGAGGGAACCTATTTACAATGCTTTCATCAGGGGAGGGAACCTATTTACAATGCTTTCATCAGGGGAGGAACCTATTTATTTCAATGCTTTCATCAGGGAGGGAACCTATTTACAATGCTTTCATCAGGGGAGGGAACCTATTTACAATGCTTTCATCAGGGAGGGAACCTATTTACAATGCTTTCATCAGGGGAGGGAACCTATTTACAATGCTTTCATCAGGGGAGGGAACCTATTTACAATGCTTTCATCAGGGAGGGAACCTATTTACAATGCTTTCATCAGGGGAGGGAACCTATTTACAATGCTTTCATCAGGGGAGGGAACCTATTTACAATGCTTTCATCAGGGAGGGAACCTATTTACAATGCTTTCATCAGGGGAGGGAACCTATTTACAATGCTTTCATCAGGGGAGGGAACCTATTTACAATGCTTTCATCAGGGGAGGGAACCTATTTACAATGCTTTCATCAGGGGAGGGAACCTATTTACAATGCTTTCATCAGGGCTGTGAACCTATTTACAATGCTTTCATCAGGGAGGGAACCTATTTACAATGCTTTCATCAGGGGGAGGGAACCTATTTACAATGCTTTCATCAGGGGAGGAACCTATTTACAATGCTTTCATCAGGGGAGGGAACCTATTTACAATGCTTTCATCAGGGGGGGAGGAACCTATTTATTTACAATGCTTTCATCAGGGGAGGGAACCTATTTACAATGCTTTCATCAGGGGAGGGAACCTATTTACAATGCTTTCATCAGGGAGGGAACCTATTTACAATGCTTTCATCAGGGGAGGGAACCTATTTACAATGCTTTCATCAGGGGAGGGAACCTATTTACAATGCTTTCATCAGGGGAGGGAACCTATTTACAATGCTTTCATCAGGGGAGGGAACCTATTTACAATGCTTTCATCAGGGGAGGGAACCTATTTACAATGCTTTCATCAGGGGAGGGAACCTATTTACAATGCTTTCATCAGGGGAGGGAACCTATTTACAATGCTTTCATCAGGGTGTGAACCTATTTACAATGCTTTCATCAGGGGAGGGAACCTATTTACAATGCTTTCATCAGGGAGGGAACCTATTTACAATGCTTTCATCAGGGAGGGAACCTATTTACAATGCTTTCATCAGGGAGGGAACCTATTTACAATGCTTTCATCAGGGCTTGGGAACCTATTTACAATGCTTTCATCAGGGGAGGGAACCTATTTACAATGCTTTCATCAGGGAAGGAACCTATTTACAATGCTTTCATCAGGGGAGGGAACCTATTTACAATGCTTTCATCAGGGAGGGAACCTATTTTACAATGCTTTCATCAGGGGAGGGAACCTATTTACAATGCTTTCATCAGGGAGGGAACCTATTTACAATGCTTTCATCAGGGGAGGGAACCTATTTACAATGCTTTCATCAGGGGAAGGAACCTATTTACAATGCTTTCATCAGGGAGGGAACCTATTTACAATGCTTTCATCAGGGGAGGGAACCTATTTACAATGCTTTCATCAGGGGAGGGAACCTATTTACAATGCTTTCATCAGGGGAGGGAACCTATTTACAATGCTTTCATCAGGGGAGGAACCTATTTACAATGCTTTCATCAGGGGAGGAACCTATTTACAATGCTTTCATCAGGGGAGGGAACCTATTTACAATGCTTTCATCAGGGAGGGAACCTATTTACAATGCTTTCATCAGGGAGGGAACCTATTTACAATGCTTTCATCAGGGGAGGGAACCTATTTACAATGCTTTCATCAGGAGGGAACCTATTTACAATGCTTTCATCAGGGAGAGGAACCTATTTACAATGCTTTCATCAGGGGAGGGAACCCCATTTACAATGCTTTCATCAGGGGAGGGAACCTATTTACAATGCTTTCATCAGGGGAGGGAACCTATTTACAATGCTTTCATCAGGGGAGGGAACCTATTTACAATGCTTTCATCAGGGGGAGGGAACCTATTTACAATGCTTTCATCAGGGGAGGGAACCTATTTACAATGCTTTCATCAGGGGAGGGAACCTATTTACAATGCTTTCATCAGGGGAGGGAACCTATTTACAATGCTTTCATCAGGGGAGGGAACCTATTTACAATGCTTTCATCAGGGGAGGGAACCTATTTACAATGCTTTCATCAGGGAGGGAACCTATTTACAATGCTTTCATCAGGGAGGGAACCTATTTTACAATGCTTTCATCAGGGGAGGGAACCTATTTACAATGCTTTCATCAGGGGAGGGAACCTATTTACAATGCTTTCATCAGGGAGGGAACCTATTTACAATGCTTTCATCAGGGGAGGGAACCTATTTACAATGCTTTCATCAGGGGAGGGAACCTATTTACAATGCTTTCATCAGGGGAGGGAACCTATTTACAATGCTTTCATCAGGGGAGGGAACCTATTTACAATGCTTTCATCAGGGGAGGGAACTATTTACAATGCTTTCATCAGGGAGGGAACCTATTTACAATGCTTTCATCAGGGGAGGGAACCTATTTACAATGCTTTCATCAGGGAGGGAACCTATTTACAATGCTTTCATCAGGGAGGGAACCTATTTACAATGCTTTCATCAGGGGAGGGAACCTATTTACAATGCTTTCATCAGGGGAGGGAACCTATTTACAATGCTTTCATCAGGGAAGGAACCTATTTACAATGCTTTCATCAGGGGAAGGAACCTATTTACAATGCTTTCATCAGGGGAGGGAACCTATTTACAATGCTTTCATCAGGGGAGGGGGAGGGAACCTATTTACAATGCTTTCATCAGGAGGGAACCTACAATTCATACAATATTTACAATTCATCAGGGGAGGGAACCTATTTACAATGCTTTCATCAGGGGAGGGAACCTATTTTACAATGCTTTCATCAGGGGAGGGAACCTATTTACAATGCTTTCATTTCATCTTTCATCAGGGGAGGGAACCTATTTACAATGCTTTCATCAGGGGAGGGAACCTATTTACAATGCTTTCATCAGGGAGGGAACCCATTTACAATGCTTTCATCAGGGAGGGAACCTATTTACAATGCTTTCATCAGGGGAGGGAACCTATTTACAATGCTTTCATCAGGGGAGGGA